GCGGGAGCAGCCTTTCCCGAGCTTCTAAAAATCATTAAAATGCCTCAGGGTCACCTGCACAACAGTTCAAATCACTAGCCGTGGAATCACTAATGTGGGGGTGTTTAAGATTTTATTAGAGAGAGAGAGTGTGTGAGCAGGGGGAGCAGAGGGAGAAGGAGGAGGGAGGGAAGAAGCAGGGGGAGCAGAGGGAGAAGGAGAAACAGACTCCTTGGTGAATGTGGAGCCTGACGTGGGGCTCGATCCCAAGACCCCGAGATCATGACCCGAGTAGAAACCAAGAGTCGGATGCTTAACCAAATGCTCCATCCAGGCGCCCGTCACTACTGTGTTTTATGTCTTTCGCTTTATGCATGAGAGAAACTGAGACCCAGAGAGTGGAACTGGCCAGCAGGTGGTGGCTACTGGTGGCAGGCTAGGAATCAGCCTTCAAGGCACCAGACTCCCATGTGTTTGATTGTGTTCGCTCTTCTCTTGTTAGGGAACCGTGACCAGAGGGGAGTCCCACCTGCGCGTTGGGTTTACCTTAGGAAAGCCATCGTCGCCTGATGAGAAGAGAGGGGGCCCCGGGTTATGTGGGGGCGGGGCTTGTCTCCACCTGCCCCCCACCCCATAAACTCACCTGGAGCGGGACTGGGAGAGGAAGCCAGGTGGGAGGGAGGGGGCGCCCCTGAGCAGCCCCGCCCTCCAGGTCCCCGGTGCAGAGATGGGGTGGGGGTCATGCTCAGTGCCCTTACTGGTTCCTCATCCACAGATCCCACCCTTGGCCATTTGAGAAGATGTAAGAGAGGGAAGGACGAGGTGGACCACTGCGATGACTGTGGAGAACACGGATGGGATTCTGGGAATAAAAGTGCCTTTGTTTTTCCCTGGAGATCTGAGAAGATTTTGCCTGTGTAAAAAGTGACAAGCCAGCTGCGGGCGAGGAGCACGTGGAGAGGAAGGGTTTGGGAAGTTTTAGAAACTATCAGCTTTCCTCACACACAGAATCCTGTAAGCGTGTCCCAGTGACCAAGCCAGACGGACACGGGGTGGCGGTCACTGCGCAGCACAGGTGAACAGCGAGTCCCCCTGCTGCAGCTTGTCGGTCACAGTGACAACACCCCAGTTAGAACCACATGATGGCTGGGGCTCCCGGCCCGCTCAGTCCACGGAGCGACTCTTGAGCTCAGGGTCATGAGTTCAAGCCCTCGTTGGATAAGGAGCTTACTGAAAATAAAAATAAAAATAAAAATGTAGAATTGCCCCAAAATAAAATACTGCAAAGATGAAAGATAGGTTGTAGAACGTGGGCGGGGAGGAGACACCAAGGGATGGAGAGCAGAAGGGAACCGTTCAGAGAAGACAAGAACAGTCTGAGCAATCTGACAGAGGTCTCAAAAAATAAAACTCCTGCGGAGAGCGGAGGAAATCCAAGGAGAACGTTTCCCGACTGTGAGCAGACACACCGCTCCCTCCGGAGGACGGCGGGGTTGAGGACCATGGGGGTGAGGAACTCTGGTCCCCGGCTTCTGGAGTCCTCAGCGCACACACTGTGCAGCGTGCGTCCACGGCACAGAGTCTGGGGGTCCAGGGAGGTCACACCTCAGCTCCTTTCCCTCCCTCACCACGCGGATGCCGCAATTCTTATCCAGGTGATGTCAGCACACCTCCCGGTGCATGAGGATGAAAGGTATTAACCACACGAACTCACGTGGCATGCGCCTGGGGGAGGGTCTGCTGCGGCATCGCCTCTGGGGGAAGTCCATGGCCACTGCCTCAGGCCCAAAGGCGCCCCGAGGACTTCCTCGCAAGCCACCGCGAGCCCTCTGACCATTCACTCAGACTGGATCCTCCCTCTCCACCGCCGTACAAAGCTGTCCGGAGGTGCTGCGTCTGACACGTGACCCTTCCTGAACAGCCAAGGGGAAGGCGGGGATTTACAGGGCCCTTCCTTCCCAGTAGATGGCCCAGGACCCTCCCTCCTCCTCCTCAACTCAAACCCCCATTTCCGGATCACAGGCCACAGGCACGTTTCTACACTGGGTGGCTGGTCAGCTTGCCCTCCTGGGGGCCTGTGCTGCCTGAAGCAGGAGACGCAGGGGCCGCAGGTTTGGACCCCATCCTGCATAATGCAAGCCACGGGTGGGCACCCCGCCTTGCCTGGATGGCAGCATGGCTCACCTCCGTCTCCCTCGCTCCCACCTCGTTTTACTTCCAAGATGACCATCTACCTTGGTCCCCCTGGTTACCACCCAGAGCCCATTCCCACCTCCAGGACCCCGGGAACGGACATGCTCAGGAGGAGCCCCAACCTCTCTTTTCCCCAGGAACTTCTCTGTTCCACCCACTTCGCGAGGTGTCGGCCTGGGAAAGCTCACATACCTGTGGGACAGGACATACCTACCTGTGGGCCGCTCCCCCGGCCCAGGGAAACCTGGCAATGTCTGAACAGTTCTACAAGATGGCACAGAAAGGAGAGGCTGTTCGATAAAGAGGGCTACAGATACAGACAAAACTCAGTCCCTCATCAAATACAATACATACACATAAGTTTCATATGTATAAAATATCCTTATAGGAAAATTACAAATGTTGTAAAGATTTATTTATTCATTTCAGAGAGGGGGGAGGGGCAGAGGAAGAGAGACTCTCAAGCAGACTCCCCACTGAGCACAGAGTACTGAGCACAGAGCCCTATGCAGGGGCTCAATGGCAGGACCCTAAGATCATGACCTGAGCCGAAAACGAGAGTCAGATTCGTAACCAGCTGAGCCACCCAGGCGCACTGAAAATTAAAATTTAAGCTTTTAGAAAGCCTCAAGGGTAGGGAAGGATCACTCAAAGAAGCCTCAAAGGCATAAGCCACCAAAGGTAAAGGATGGACATGCATAATAATAGGAACATTTAAACGCAACTTTGGTGCCAGGGAAGACCACGAGGGAGACAAGCCACCGCCTGGGGGCACGTTCGAAATGCCTGTCACTGACCAAATGTTAGCATCTCTCCGGAACATATATTTTAACAAACATAAATACCCGTAAGGAAAAGGAAAGTTGTCCCAATGGAAAGTGCGTGAAGGATAAATAGATACAGGAACTCGGCACAGCCAGAACATGCGATAAGATGAGGCTCAGAGGCTCGGGGCAGACTCAAACCTCAGGGAGAGAAACCCCACCCAATCAACAAAAATGAAAAATCCAAAGATGCCGAGTGCAGGTCCAGCTGGGGAGCGGGGGGGGGCGGACACTGCCGGAGGACAGAGGGTCCGTGACCTTGGGGAGCAAGCACGAACATGCCGTCAGCGAGGGGACCACACGCACTCACCAGGATGCCTGAAATAGCTCTTCCCACAGTCTGATTCCAACCGAGAAACCCCACCACACCCACGACATCTGTCAACAGCGTAAGAGGTGCACGGCGGACGGTCACACGACAGAATGTTAAACAGTTCAAATAACTGAACCAGAGCTTCATTTACGTCCATGAACGTCTCAAGAACCAAATATGAAAATTTCGGAAGTCGTCAAGTGAGTATGGTGTGGGATGTGTCATTTCTGTCAAGTGTAAAGAATGCGCCGGCACGCAGAGCTGTGCTGAACGTGGAGGGACGGATATGAGTTGTGTTCGGGACGGCGGAGGGTGGGTAGGTGGCCCTGGGGCTGCAAACGGGACTTTGGGATGATAAGGGTTTTTTTCTCAAAAAAAATCTGGAGCAAATACAGAAAAACACTAGGACTAGTTGGCTGATGACATGGGGGTGGGGGGGCTTGGCACATGCATCCCATTCTTGTTCCTTCCAAAATATCTGAATCACCTTTCTGTCCTCCTCCCCCCACCCCATACTCTGTGTCAGAGTCCCAGACTCCCAGTCCCTGGGACGGCCTCCCCAGGCTGGGTCTCCTCAAGTAGCTGTTTCCCCCGCAAGCGCTTGCACTCTGGAGCTGCTCACATTCACAGGCTTTCCCGTCTTGGCCCTTCCTCGTGGGCACCGTTCCTCTCTCCTTCCTGGTCGGTTGCTGGGACATGGGGCCCTCCAGCCTCTGCTTGTGCCCCTAAATGTGGCTTGCACCCCAGCACCCTGGCCAGTCCTTTGACAAAGACGTCTCTACACCTAACAAATCAGAACTTATCAAAGCTCATCTTTGGGGGCCCCCCCACCCCCCAACTACTGTTTGATTGCCAAATTGAACAAGTTAATCCCAGGTCTTCCTCCCCTTTACCACCAGGGGCCAGTCCTCTTCTTCTGAGACCCCAACCTACTATTGGGGCATCACAGCTTTCCAGGCTGTGATGCCATCACCCTGGGCTCTGACAATGACCATGAGTCAGTCTAGCAACGGCTGGTGCCTGGATCCCAGAAAACACCACTCCCACCCGTCTGCACCTGGCCTCCCGGCTCCCACACTCCCTTCACACTTCTACCAACAGTCCAGGGAGTGGCAAGCTACACCAAAAATCAAAACAGTTATTTCTCTCACAATAAATTGCCAGCTGCTTGGCACTCATGCCATTTGGGGAATGCAGATGCAGGGCTACCGGTCAGAACTGCAAACTGGGCCCTGCATTGGCTCAGTGGCTGGCCACGCTGCCCTGCACCACCAGCGGCCACCAGCGCTGCCCTGAGCACCAGAGCCCCGGCCAGATGCATCACTGAGATTCTCTCCCTGGCCTGAGACGATGGGGCAGGAAAGGGAGAAGCCGACTGGTCCACGCCCTGATCACAGCGCCCAGAGATGGAAACAGGAGGGATGACAGAGGGTTCCAAACGTGGGCCCCTTCCCGGCCTCCCACAGTACACTGGTTTGCCAAGGAGTGATACTGCTTGTCTTGGCTCTGCACAGCCCGGCTCAGGAAGCCTTGGACTTGGAGAAAAGACTACAGACAGACATGAGCTGTGAACCGCTCTCCTTTGCAGTGGGGCCAATCTTCCACCGTCCTCCTCCCACACATCCTCCCAGGCAAGGTCACAAGATGCAGAGAGCAGGGTCCATACCCACACACATGCCCAAAGTCCAGCATTCCAGGAAGATTCACCTATTTATTGATATTAAGCCACTTCCCAGCAGTAACTGCTGTAACAAGAACAGGACTCGGTTTCTAAAGGTAGTAAAATAACGATGACATCACAAAGCTTTGGGGACATTACACGCAAGGCAAACTGGCTTTCTTCTCCTGCCAGAGTGGGCAGGTGCTAGGTGCCATCCCGAGCACAAGCTCCTGGTCCCTTCCTTCGCCTTGGCCCTTGAAGCATCCTGGGCTGTGGCATGGGGTGGGCGACCTCGCCACACCCTCCCCACGTGGCCCAGCAGTCCAGGGCGCGCCCCAACCAACTCCCGGTGCTTCCAGCCAGTGAGCCATGGTCAGGTGACAAAACCACTAGCACCAGAAAGTTGGTTCTTCCTCTTTGCCAAGTAAACACGAAACTTTTTTCTTTTCTTTTTCTTCTTTTTAAGGAAAGAAAAGTCTTAAAAATATATGGCACTAGAGTGTAGAACTACGTGAGGGCCCCCACGACAGCTTCCCATGGCTGCTGGCCCAGTCAGATGTAGAGCTGATGAGAAGCCAAGGTGTCCATGAACGGACGCACCAGGTTGTCGGTGGAGAAGTAGAAGATGAGCCCGAACGTGATGGAGATGGGGAGGGCGGGCAGCGCCTTCTTGAACACAGCAAGCAGCAGGAGGGTCAGACACAAACCCTGCGGGACACGGAGGGGAGGGGATGGTGACCGCCGGTGCGGATGGCGGGCAACGGCTGAGGTCCAACCCCCGGGCTCTGGCGTCAGCAAGGGACGGGTCGGACAACAGCCCTGGACACCCGATCTTCCCGGTGCCTCTCGAAGCTCTGTGCCGTGCCAGAGGGGGAGCGCTCACCCCGTCTAACACCTGCATGCTCTTGCGGGAGCCTCCCGACTCCCAGTCCACCGCCCCATCTGGCAACAGCAGTGACATGCGTGACCAGCGGCCGGTGGCCTCCCCTTAAGGGACATGTATTTGTAAAGAGCTGCACAAGCTCCATGGAAAGGCCGGGGAGGGTCTCAGCAGTTAGTACCTCGAGGAAACCAAAGATGCCGTGTGACCCATCCCCTTGGAAGTGGCCGCCCGTCCTGTCCCGCCCTGGCCAACGGGGGCAGTGGTGCAGGGGACAGGGGACTAGAGCAGCTGCCCTGTCCCTGGGGAGGGCAGGGCTTCAGGTCAGACAGTCTGGGGGTCCACTACCCGATCCCTGACACGCCCCGGGACACCTGGCTTCATGGGGCTGGAACGTGGAGCACATGCTGCTCAGAGCTTCCTCTCCTCAGATGCAGTCCTCCTGAGGCACTTCCCGCATCGTGGGTGTCTGGCCACACCAAGTCACCACTGGGTTTCAAAGTGACAGGGCCCCGTCCCTGCCTCACAGACATCATGAGACCGCACACAATGTCGGCCAAGCCTCCGCGCGGCCACATGTGTGGTCCATGATGCTGGAGTCCCTCAGCCACACCTGCCCGGCCCAGACCCTCCTGTAAGCCTGGTCTCATCTCGAGGGGCTTCCTGGCAGCCCTGCCCAGCCCCCACCATCCTGCCCCTCCAAGGGACAGCAGCCCCTGAAACTCTCCTTGGATCCAGGTTCCCCCCCAAACCGGGGAGACAGGGCAGGGGTACACCCATCCCACTCACAATGAGGATGGCCACGAAGCATGCCAGCGTGGTATTCCAGTCCCCGCTGCCCGTGGCCGCCGCCTTGCCCACCAGCACGCTGTAGAAGATGAAGTCCCCCAGGCCCAGCTTCACGCCCCCTGTGCGGGGAAGACAGAGCGAGCCCATCAGCATCAGGAGCCCCAAGAGGAAGGGGTGAAGGCAGAGGCCAGCCCACAGCCTAGCTGCTCTGCCTGCTCCAAGGGATCCAGGGGACCTGGGATCAGAGTCCTGAGTCTGAGACCCAGGGCAGGGTCGCTGCCAGCCCACCTCATCTGGCCTCTGGGGCAGGGACTGGCTGTGGTGGAAAACCAGCAGCCAGGGGGGAAAAAGAGGCCGCTGGGCTGGGCCACCTGCCAGCCGGGGTGTGAAAAGCTAGCATTTCTGACAATTGGGGTAAAACTGGTGCTTGACACTTAGTTAAAAGAGCAAATAAAATGTACTTGCAGGGATTGGTGGGAGGCTGTAAAATTTAGGGCTAACTTAGAAATATACTTTAGGGAGGTTAATTTCACTCCTCTCCAGAGCACAAACACTGCGGTGAGCGCCTTGGGCCACCCTTCCTGGTAACAAGAGATAAGCGTATTTGGTAATTAGCTTATCTCCAGCTGATGGTAGCCAGGAACTGACAGTGCACAGAAGACTTTGTCTCCTTCAGGCGGGCCTGCCCCACGGAGTCCTCCTTCAGAGGCCGCGGCTCGCGGCAGACGTTTACCTAACAAGGCTGCCCGCACAGGCCTGCTGCCTGTCCGCCCCTCTGCTGCCTCCCGTGGCTCACGGGGGCTCCCTGGTCAGGCCAGACCCCCGCAGGCTGGCTCCAGCCCCCAGAGAGGAAGCAGGACTCCGGCTCACCACCTCTCGCAGCCTGCTTTCCTTCCTTCCTCTGCTGTCTGTCCGTCTGTCTCCACCACGCCCCTTACGGTGGTCTGTCAGTGTCCCTCTCGCTCATACCTACCCCCTCCTTTTCCACCCCCACTGTGAGGCTCTGCCCTTCCCTCTCAGTCACATCTCAGATGAGCTCCATGCTCCCATCCTGTGCCTGTGCGAGGCCCAGAAGCCACTAAGGGCTCCCCACTGCCTCCAGGGCAGAGTCTCAGCTGCACCCCGAGTACGAGTGCGGCATAACCCCCAAGGGCTGGCCCTCCACAGCTGCTCCCGGCACTCCCCGAGGCTCCCTCCTCCTTCCTCAAGCCAGTGCCAGTGCTGCTGGGACATGAAGAATTTTCTGGCCTTTGTCCCTGGTCCCTGGGAGAGAGGCTACATCCCAGAATTTCCCAAGTAATGGGAGCATCTGTTACTCAGGAGACCCAGAATCCTAAACCCTTGAGTGAGAGGACCTGGAGGGGCTGCTCCACCAGAAAGACCGACCTTGTGAGAAGGGGGCCAGGACTAGGCCCAGCTGGCCTCTGGGGGGACAGAACAGACCCCGAGCGAGGACTCAGTCACATCTATGTAATGCAACCCAGTAAGACACTGACCCCTGAAGCCTGATGAACGTATCCACGTGCTGGGGGGTGGGTGGTGGTGGTGGTGGCAGTGGTGGTGGCGGTGGCGGTGGTGTGTGTGTGTGTGTGTGTGTGTGTGTGTGTGTAACCCGCCCTCATGCCTCCCGAAGAGAGCTCTCCACAGGGAGAGTTCAGGACCCTCCCACACCTGCCCTCCACATCCCTTCGCAAGGCTGGTCCTTAGTTATCTCCCTTACAATAAAACTGTAAGTACAGGACTTTCCTGGCCCCCCAAGTCATCCTAGGGGACTACTGCAACTGGAGGGGTGGTGGGGCAGAACTGGGTAGTGACCCCCAGGGAGAGACAGGGAAGGGCCTGTGTGGAAGACGGCCTTGACAACAGGTCGAAGGGCACATGGCCAAGGGGGATGCAAACAGTCTTTCCACCAGGACACAGACGCAGCCCACCTGCTTTGTGCCGAGTGGCACATGGGACCCTGTGTTCCACAGCCCATGGTGGCCTGAGTGTGGGGGCAGCGCTGTTAGTGGCTGTCCTGCCCAGCCCGCCTGAGCCCTGAACCCATACCTTGTGCTCCCATAGCTACACTGGGCCCTCCTACAGGCCATACAAGTGCATACTAGGATGAATTCTCCACAGCCTACAACCCTGCCCCCATTGGGTCATGTCCTTCCTCCCACAAAACTCAAAACCCTCCGGGGGCCCCCACCCCGGGCATGGTGCACAGGCCGGAACCCCCCACTTCTATCTGGGAGGCCCCCTGAGTGCCCAAGAGCCTCCCAGTCCCATGTCTGCACCTCTGACCTAGGGTTCCTTCCTGGCCTTCCTCTAACTCACCCTGGACTGTGGGCCCCTGGCCTCTGTACCCCAACTCCCACCCCTGCATCCCCTGTTCCCAGAGCTCAACCCCTAGAGCTCAGCTCAGAAGTAACCCCCTCAGGTAACTTCCCCAGGGCCTGAGACCAGGTCAAGGAGCTGGGTCACTGTGCTCTGGCCTCCTTGTTCTCCCGCATGGTCCTCCTGGGCCCAGTGGGGGTGATCAGAGCCCACGGCAGGTACACCCGAGCCAGGCCTGGATTGCTGCTCGCACCCAGCGCGGTGGTACAGACACCACCCACGCCTGCTCCCGTCTGGTAAGCGGGAAGAGCGCCCATCGCAGCCCGGCGTAGCCAACAAGACACCACCTCTGGCAGGCTGGTCCTGGGACTTCTGTGCCCACCTCTGACGTGAAGGGGTGCTTCTCCCCCACACCCTTCCCTGACTTCAGGGAGCCCCAGCTCCACCCCTGCCCCCACCCCTGGGCCCACGCAGACCCTCTGGGCCCGGGCACCTTACTTTCCTCCTCTTCCTCGAGCTCGTCCCCTGGATAACCAGGCAGGGGGGGCTCAAAGACTTCTGGGTACGAGGGCTCCCCAAAACTGTCATAGGAGTCCTCTTCTGGGTGTCCGCGAAGAGAACCGAGAACCGTCAGGGTGTGAGGCGGGGGCAGGGGCGAGGGAGAGAGACAAAACTCTAGTCAGAAGGCTCTCTGATCTCAGGACTCCCCCAGTCCTCACCCATCAGTCAGCGCCCCCCGAGACAGACAGAAAAGCTCTCTGCTATGTGTCACAAGGAAAGGGGGCGGAGCTGGACATCGCCCCCTCGCTCAGTCCCCAGCATGCGCCCGTCCAGGAGGGGTTGCTTTCCCTTCCGCCCCTCCCGGCTCTGCACCCCCCAGGGAGGGCAGCCCCCGACACTCACCCATCTCAGGGTCGTAGGGCAGCTGAAGGGCTCCCTGGGAGGAGGGGTCCAGCTTGGCCATGCCCACCGTCCACACCATGGCAGCTACAGAAGGAGAAAAGTTTGTGCATCAGGTGCTGCTGAGTGAGGCTGCCCCCGGGGCCTGGAAGGCAGCATCCCCAAAAAGCCTGCACAGGACTGTCACCTCCAGTGGGGACGCGTCTACGCCCCTTGTTTGGGGGCCCCTGGGGGAGGGGCCCGGACTCAACAGGTATGGGCATACAGTGCCCTTCCTGGGCTTTTTTTATACCCACGTTGCTGGGAGACAGACTCCAGAACCGCTTGTCTTCCGGCCCTGAAACTACCCTCCCCCACCTGCCGCTCCCCCATTCTAGCTCCCGAGTCCTCTCGAGGCCCCATACAGGGGGCAACGCCGACCCTCCATGACACTTCGCTCGCTCAGCGTGGTGGCCTCCAGGCTCATCCACGCGGCCCCGTGGCCGGATACGTCCCTTCTCAGGACTGAACGACGCTCCATGGTGCGTTCGCCGAGTGTCCTTCACCCGCCCGGCGGTCGACAGACATGGCATGACCGCAGCCCTCGGCGACCACGTGCGATGCGGCAACGGGCACGGGTGTGTGGACAGCTGTGGAGACCCCGTGTCCGGCTCCCCTGGCTTCCGTCCAGGGTGGGATCACCGGGTCGGGAGCACTGACTGGGCTCTCTCTGGCCGGGAAACTCTTGCCTCACCTCCCATCGCACACGTGTCCCCACGTCTCCATCTGGCGGCCCCGTGAGCATGCCTCGTCTAGAACATTCCCCACGTGCCAAGGCAGCCATGGTGGCCCCACCCTGTCCCTCTCACTGTGTGGCATATCCAACCCTGATGTTGCTCAGACCCCAAGACACACGGACGCCCTTGACTCTTTCTCCTGGTCTGTACCCCAAGCATCGCAAATCCTGCCAATTTGGCCTCCAAAGTATCTTCAGAACCCATCAGTGTCCTTGGCCTCGACTGCTGCCCCGGGGCCACAGCCATACGCCCCTACTCCTGGGCTGCTAGTCACCCCCAAACCTAGCTTCTCTCCCACTCTTGTCACCATGCCGTTTCCTCTCCCCTCAGCAACTTGAGTGATCCTGCTAAAATATTCTTGTCAGCTTGATCCAAAGCCTTCCAGGGCATGAAGCTTACTCAGGAGTGAAAGTCAAGTCCTCACCATGGCCTGCAGGGCCCAGTGCCCCCTCACCTGCCTCTCCTCCCTTCTGCCCCCCACTGGCTTTAGCTCCCCAGTGCTCCCAGACCTGCCCCTCCTTTCTGCCCCCTGCCAGCTTCGGCTCCCAGCGCTAGACCTGCACCTCCAGACCTGCCCCTCCTCCTTTCTCTTCCACCCAGCTGGCCTCAGCTCCCCAGGGCTCCCTGACCTGCACCCCCTTGCCGCCCCCTCCTTTCTGCCCCTCCCACAGTGGCTTCTACTCCCCAGCGTCCCCGGACCTGCACCCCCTCACCTGTTCCCTCCCCACTTCTGCCCTCCAGTGGCTCCCCAGTGCCCCTGGACCTGTGCCTCTGGACAGGCCCCCTCCTCCCTTCTGCTCCCCATGGCTTCAGCTCCCCAAGTACTGGGCTGTATCCACCTCAGGGCCTTCTGCTGGAACTCTGCCCCCTGGGCTTCCTAACACAAGTCTCGGGTCAAATGTCACCTTATGACAGAGGTGTCCTCGACCACCAAACACAAAACAGCACCCCTCCCCACCCCAAAGTCCTCGGCCTCCCTGCCACTTCATCTGTTGACCAAGCATGTCTCCCCTCCAAGAACGTGTGCTCCCCCACAGCACAGAGACGGTGAACACAGGTAAGAGCCCCATCTCAGCCCACCGCACATGGTCTCTGCTCTTCCTCAAAGTGGCCTCGAACCTGCTTCTAGGCTGTGGGCCCCCCGCCAACGGCTCCCACTCCAAGCTCCTTCCTGCCTCTGCAGACGATCTCCAGAACTCAGCGGCCAGTCTGAACCTGCAGACGGCGAGCCCCGGGCATTCGGGCTCACGCCTCAGCCACGCCCACCGACAGATGGGAGGGCAATGGGACCACAGGGCTGTGAGCCCCCTCATGCCCAGGGCCACGTGGGTCTTCTCTTCTGCAGCACCTCGGAAGCCCAGCACGGCGCTTGCTGCAGAGTGTGGGTCTGACGCTCATCTGTCAAACGCACCCATCCGTCCAACTCCCTAGAGTCCGGCCCCCGCAGCCGGCAACAGCGCTGGGTGCCTTCCCTTGAGAGACTTCCGCCAGCCGTGGAGCCGTGGAGGAAGCCCAACAAAGAGCAGGTACACCTGCGCCCCCAGACCCCCGCCCTCGAGAGCCCCTCTCCGAAGCACCCTCTCAGGAGGGTGGAGGGCCGAGTGGGTGGCCATGGGCAGTGCCCACCACGCGCCACCGGATGCTGGACGGGCCACAGCTGGGGGGCGGACCACGTCCCCTGCAGCCCCGGGCGGCCCTAACTCTCTCAGCATCTTCTGTGTGAAACCAAGATCCAGCCAGTCTTTGTCCCTGGCAGGCATGCCACCCCGGGATCACCAAGGCCACCCCCTCCTCTTAGACCAGTGAACTCTGAAAGCCGCGGCCAGGAAGCAGCCCCCGGTTTCGACCTCGGGAGGAGACGTAGGGGTCACTCACAGGAGTATATCAGGGCAGGAAATATGGGCTCGTTCCTCTCCTGGGCGGTCTCCACCAGCATCCTCAGCGGCCCTTTGGGGCACAGCACAGCCACGAGATCTGGGAGAGCAAAGATATCAGGGTATGTGACCCATGACATTTATTCCCAAGCAGCCCCCAGAGAGGGGAGCTGGCCCGCGAACACTGGGGCAAATGCAGCCCAGAGCCCCAGAGCGAGGTTCCGAGTGTGTCCTGCGTGCCTGGCCCCAAACCGCCGGCTTCCAGCCCTGACCTGGGGAACCCACACCGGATGAAGCCCAGAACGGAGTCTAAACGGGTGGACCGGAAACAAGGAACCGCCGCGTGGCTCAGGGCCCTAGTGGTGGGCTTGTCGTCCGGACCCTCCCATCCCCTACCCTCAAAATGGAAGTGATGGGGAAAGAGAATCACACGAACCCTAGTCACTGAGCCGCTAATGAGCAGTTCTGGGCGTTTGTGACTCACGGCCCCGCGCCTGACCCCACGGCTGCTCTGAACAGATCTCCTAGTGTGTCCAGCGCTCCCCAGTATGAGCACTCCACAGACGTGAAACAATAGTGAGTGCGCCCACGGCCCCGGCCCCCACAGCCCCCGTGTCTCACAAAGGCAAGCCTCTCCGAGGGGAGACCGTCCAGCATTCATCGGGGAGGGAGGCCCCTTTCAGCCCCTGCCACCTGTGGCCATCACTGAGGAGGACTCGACCCCTGGACATGGCCCCCACCGCCCACCACCAGGCTCAAAGCCCACCTGCGTCTGCCTACCGTACACAGAGATGGCGCCCAGAATGACCCAGGCGGACCATTCCGGGAGGTACTTGATGAACACCAAGGCCATGAGCGCACTGATCATGATGAGGTAGGCCTGCTGCAGCACGAGGGGGCCTTTCCAGTGGATGCACACCATGCCCACCGCCCCAAAGTTCCAGACAGTCAGGAACAGGGTGGGGTAGTCCATGGCCACGTTATAGGTCTTGAGCACTTCCCTGTGTAACCAGAGTCAAGCATGGACGGGAAAGTCAGTGGAGAGGTGAGACCCCCCAGCTAGACACAGTTCAACATTCCCTGCTCCTCAACCACTAAACTCCCAGCTGGGTCCTTCCGAACTCTGGCTTCATCACTAACACCCCCTTTCCCGGTTCTGTGGGTCCTACAATGAACCACGTCAAGTATTTTCTGGAACAAACTGGTGACTATGCCAATGTCTCATCCTTGGGTTGGTTCATGTCAACCTGCACTGGCACAACCTAGAAGACCCTCTGCCCAAGAGAAAGGTCCTCCTGTCTCTCCAGTCTCTCCTGGGTCAGGCTGCCATTCGAGATCGAAGGCAACAGAGCAGATCACTTTTCCCACAAACGAGCAAGCACCCAAGCCCAGCCCAAAGACGAGAATGTGAATCTTAAGGGGTCTATACCCCTCTTGGGTTCACAGAGATCGCCCTCCATGTGGACCGTGCTCCTTTAAATCAGGAACAAGAAAGGTAGGCGTGGCCTGCCACGGGGCCCAGGGGAGGAAGGACTGGGTCAGAACAGTGACAAGGGCAGAGTCTGGAGCCTGGTGGGAGGGTGACTTACCCGAGGTAGATGTAGGTGAAGAGAAACAGCAGCATCAGGGAGGACATGATCAACCAGCCATGGATGAACTAGACAACAGAAATGGGCAGGATGGACACAGGCCCCAGCTTCCTGGGACTGGTGCCCAAGCTTCAAGAATCTCCGTTGGGCTCCTCCATGATCATGCTGGAAGGTACGGAGTGGCCGTGTGACTGATAAAGAGGGCAGAGAAATCCAGAGTCCTCCCTGGGGCCGCTGGCAAGGGCGTGGAGCAGGACCCGTCAGGTGCGAGCAATCAGAGCCCTGTTCCCTCACTGAGGGTGGGTGCACTGGAGACCCCCTCCACTCCCCTGCCGAGTGAGGGTGACACCTCATAAATGTATATACATGTAGTCAGGTAGTCACAGGTACGAGAAAGGGAACGTCAGGGCAAAGTGACGGGAGACTCACTGGGGTGCTTTCGTAAAGTGGTCACGGCTGTCTTTGAGGGAGCTTTGTCTGGTCACCCCAGGAACAGCCCTGCCACCGGAGGGTCTACTCACGGGTCCTTAGAGAGACACGTGCCTGCTGTCCTGGCCAAAGAAGCAGATCAAAGATGACTGTAGGCTGGTCCTAAGCCAGTCCCCTAGCCAGCTGTCAGGGGCACGGTGGAGTCACTGCCACCAGCCTCCCCTCATTAGTCACCTGCTTGGGCCACTGGGGACCTCAGTGGGAACCTGGTCTACCTGGAAGGCAGGCGGTGGCCTGGCTGCCTCTGGGATGGGCTGACGCTCCTCGCTCCAGCCGCCTCTGTCCCACCACTGCTCTCCTGAGTGTCACAGAATCCGTAAGGACATCTTGCCAATCTGCCTCCCGCCAGTCCCAGGACGAGTCACCTAACAGCCGCTGACAACAGCAGTGCTGTCCTTCTGTAGCCCCTGAGCCCCTGACTGGCTTATTTTCACAGGCCCCATGGCCTCTGCTCCGACCACACAACCCCATGATGCTTCCCAGCCCCACTTAAAACTGCCTTATTTCCACAAGTCATCATTCACCGGTCAGCCCTGGCGTCCCAGCACTTGCAGCAGCCCTCTTGTCCACCCCTGCTGTCATCCTGGCTGGGACAGGTTTCTGCCCTTGGGCTGAGCCTTGTCTGTGCTCCCCACCTGCGCCCAGGGGGTGGCAGCCAGTGTGAGGACCGCTTCCAACCAGCCACCCCCAGCGTGTCATTCTTTCAGGCCTCAGGGGTTCAGACCCTAAAACCTACGTCCAAAAGCTCATGGCCTGCCTGGGGAGGGACAACGCCCCTGCTCGGGCCGAGGGAAGGGGTCCCCCGGGGCTCCCAGGGTCCTCGCCACAGTTAAGGGTCCGCCAGTCCCCCAGGCCTTGGAGACCTCAGCACAGCACCTGCATAGCCAGCTGAGAGGGAAACAAGGAGGTCAAGTAAACCTGCAGGGAAGTGTGGGGCACAGGGACCCTAAAACAGAACATCTCATTTCTTCTGAAGCAGCAGCTAAATAAAATTAACTCCTGAATGTGAGAAGGGGTGTGGCGAATGCTACAGTCAGGGATGGGGGCAGGCGGGGTTCCGCACAAGCTCCAAGGAAGGGGCAGCGGGGAACCCCCACGGGGGTAGGGGCCGGGGGGCACGTCTAACAGCAGCGTCAGCTCCCTCTCGGGCAAGAGCCTTGGCAAGTATGCAGCAGCAGGGGGCCGGGAGGACAGGACGGGGCAGCGGGCAGGGCAGACAGGATGGGGCAGTGGGCAGCAGACAGAACAGGGCAGCGGGGATCAGACAGGATGGACAGGATGTGACAGTGGGCAGCAGACAGGACAGGGCAGCGGGGGGCAGTCAGGGCAGACAGGACGGGGCAACAGGCAGGATGGACAAGATGGGACAGTGGGCAGGGCGGATAGGATAGGACAGTGGGCAGGGCTGGCCCTTACCTTGTAGCAGCGGTACTTGTAGAGCACGACCAGGAAGATGGTCATAGCCACGATGACACTGATCATGATGAGGGTGTTGAGGACAGAGTTGAGCAGGCGCTGGCCCACAGAGGGCGTGTCCTCGGTGAATGGTGTGTAGATGCTGAGGGAGATGGCGGGCTGCAGACTCTGCTCCCTGCCTGCTCCATAGGGCCTGCCCGTGAGCCACCCAGCCTTAGCCTGATGCCTGAGCTCTGAGCAGAAAAGGAAGGGGCCCCCCCAGGCCACCCCCTCCCCAACGTGCTCGCCTGCCCTCCCTGAGGCCTCCCTCCCGCACCTCCCCCTCCCCCAAACACCCCCCCCAAGGCCTCCCTCTCCCCGAGGTGCTTTCCCCCCACTCCCACCAGGCCTCCCCCTCCCTGAGGTGCTCTACCCCCCAACTCCCAGCAGGCCTCCCCCTCCCCGAGGTACTCTCCTGCTCTCCCCTCTTCTCCAGGCCAGGGCGCCCAGCAAACCCCCACACCCATACCCGACCCAGAGAGGGCCAGCAGCAGGGGCACCTGCAGCCAAGAGAGGCGAGAGGCCGTGCCCTAGACCCCTGCCCTGTCCACCCTGTCTGCCCTGGACTGCAGAAACCTCCTGCCTGCTGAGCACTCACCTTCCCTGAACACTGTGCTGGGCCCCCTCCCACCGGCTCTGTGGCCGGCCCAGCACAAGCCTGCCACTTTCTTCAGAAAAACCAAACCAAAGGGAAAGGAAACTAACTAAAGACACTAGAAACCAAGTTCAGAGAAGGTAGTCAGAGGCAGGCGACTGCCCCAGAGCAGCGGGCCAGGGAGCAGAGGGGGCTTCCCACTTGTCCGTGCTGCTGCCTTCCACTACAGGGATCCAAACCTCGCTCCCTGGGCTGGAAGCCAACTAAGAAATCTCCTGGCCCCATGTGGGTTTCCGGCCACAGGAGTGGCAGCCCAGAGAGGAAACCAGCTGTTCGGTCACATGGGGTGGCACCCTGTGGCCGGGACCCCACACCCAGAGCCTGCCCTCTGCCACGTGGCGGCAGCCACGGTTCTAATTCGCCCTGTTCTCCTGGGGTCAGACCCATTATATAAACAAAGAAACTGAGGCAGAGAGCGGTTAGGGAAGGGCCCGCGCAGGTCACACCGCTGGGAGGCGGTGGACGGAGCAGAGCATGGAGTCAGGCAGCTCTCAGCCCAGCTCTGCACAGGCCCCTGGCGTGGAGCTGCGGGTGCCGAGACCCTCCCCCCGACCCTGCCCTGCTCCCCAGCTTACAGCTGGCCGTTCTTCTCCGTGTAGAAGCGCACGGACTTGATGGTAGCCACCACCACAACCATGCAAAGCGTCACAGGCACAAACAGCATGATCACGTGCTTTGCCCCATATTTGAGGGTCAGCTCCTCCTCCAGGCCCGATGGCTGCCCGGGGACCCCACTGCACATGTAGCGGTCTGCATCCTCGTCGAGGTCCTCCTCGCTATCTTGGCTTCTCTGCGGAAAACCGCTCGGTGAGGGCCATGGCACGCCCCCGTGGTGGGCTCTGCGGTGCCGGGCACGGGTATTTTGGAACTGGAAGAGTGCAGTTTGAGTGTTGCTTTCCAGACGGAAGAACCAGCCTAGGGGGCTGCGGTCTAGATGCTGCAGGGCTGGGACGGCAGGGCACTGGAAACATTTACGAGATCGGCCGGAGACGCTTCAGAGCTGGCACACGCCACCGCAAATGCGGGAAGGGGCCACAGCAGCCACAGGAGAGGGCAGCTTGCAGGCCCGGGACGTGTGGCTCAGGAGCCTGGAGCGCATCTAGGGATCTCCCCCCTCCCTCCATTCAGGGATTCAGATGCCACTCAGTTCTGTTCAAGGAGCCACATGGATTCGGGAGGAGACTGGCCAGGTGACAGAGGAGGAAGACAGATTACACTCACTAGAAGAGTCAGCACCCATGAGGACCCTCTGACTGTAAGACACTGGGGATTTGCAGAGGAAGAAATTGCTTGGAACTCCCCTGACATGTGCAAAATTGGGCCTGGAGAACTGGAAGCCGCGAACAAGATTCTGATGGGCTAACTGGCACCAAACTCCTGGTGGGGTGGGTCCGTGTTCTGGGAGGGTGGGAGGGCAGGACCCCAGCACCTGCTGCCCCAAACCCATCTGCAAGAATTTCTGTTTGGGAATTGTGCCAATTTAGGGTCACTCGCTGCCTCATTAATTACATTAACCTCCAGAACCATAGCCAAGCAAAACACACATTCAAAAGGATCGTTGCTTCGAAACTGGTTCTTTGCAGAGAGAATTCCAAGCGAGACTCTCAGCTAAGAAAAGGAAAAGTGCAAAGGAGGTGTTAGGAGTGGCTGGTGCTGGCATTAAGCTGAAGAAACCGGAGAACAGCTCACTGGGAATTCAGAGGATGGGAGAAACGAGCTCTAATTTCAGCAACGGGGACTAAGGCTGGCTGGCAGGAAAAATTCCCCATGAAAGGTTTTAAATACTATAACGAGCAAAATGGAGCTGGGGTTTCGGGCAACTCCAGATGCGATTTTGCCTTGCCTGGGTGGGAGGTAGTAAGACTAGGTGACTCTCCCCACAGGGCACCCCGACTTATGATGTTTTAACCTCAGGTCCTGCAGAGTTAAGATCGGAATGTCTGCGTGCCCCCCAAATTCACACATTGGACCCTAACCCCCAATGTGATGGAATGTGAAGGTGGGGGGGGGGTCTTTGCGAGGAGACTGAGTCGTGAGGGTGGAGCCCTCCTGATGGGATGAGTGCCCTTACAAATGGGCCCCAGACACCTGTACTCCGATGTTTATAGCAGCAATGTCCACAAGAGCCAAACTACGGAAAGAGCCCAGATGCCCACCGATGGATGGATAAAGAAGAGGTTGTATAAATCTACAATGGAATATTACTCAGCCATCAAAAAGAACGAAATCTTGCCCTTTGCAATAACATGGATGGAACTAGAGGATATGATGCTAAGCGAAGTAAGTCAATCAGAGAAAGACAACTATCATATGATCTCACTTATATGTGGAATTTAAGAAACAAAACAGAGGAAGATAGGGGAAGGAGGGAAAATAAAATAAGACAAAATCAGAGAGGGAAGCAAACCACAAGAGACTCTTCTTAATCATAGGAAACAAACTCGGGGTTGCTGGAGGGGAGGGTGTGGGGGGATGGGGCGGCTGGGGGACGGGCATTAAGGAGGTCACGTGACCTAATGCGCACTAGGTGTTTTATAAGACAGATGAGTCATTGACCTCTACCTCTGAAACTAAATAAATAAAATTAAATTAACGGGCCCCAGAGAGCTCCCTGGCCGGCCCACCACATGAGGACCCGGACAGAAGACCCAGAAGAACCAGATGCTGGATCTGTCGGCCCCTTGCGCTCGCAATTCCCAGCCTCCAGAACAGTGAGAGGGAGAATTCCATTGTCTCTAAGTGCAGCCAACCTAACCGTCACACATGACTGAGGTAGATGCTCCTCCCATGGCTCCTGGGTTCTGGCCGCCAACCCTCCATGGTGCTTCCCCTGCCACCCCAGGCCTGGGCTCCCCTCCCAGCATCCCGCTGCATGGCACTTGTGCCAGAAAGGCGAGCCCGCGGGGGCTGGGGACAGAACCGTTTAGTTCGCAGCAGACTACGGACATGCCGTCCAATCCAGAGCCCTCACTGACCGGGACCCGCCGCCCACCCTGGGGGACCTACCCTGGGGGACCGATTCTCACCTCTACTTTCCCCTCCCTCCCGCATCAGGGCATGCCTGGGTTCCATCCCAGAGGGCCAGGAGCCTGGGGCCTCTGACCACCGGCAGGAACCTACCCACTGGGCAGCGCTCTCTCTGTCCTCCAGGCCCTGCCGGGCCTCCTCGCAGCAACGCGGTGGGGGGCTCTCCGCCGACATCAGGGACGTCCTCTCGTCACACACTTCTTCCTCACTGTCAGAGGCCATGAACGTGAGCATGGCCCTGCCTTGGGAAGCGCCTAGAGAAAGGAGCACAGGGTACCTCTGTCCATCTTCCTGCAAGGCAAAGGCAGCAGAGGACTGAGGTGGTGGCCAGAGGCGGCCTGAAGACCCGGCCACAGGTCCTGCCTGACAACCACCCAGGATGCTTGGGTCGAGTGGCTGCTGGAAAACAAGACTTCCCAGGAGCTGCCTCTACAGCAGCCACCAGAAGGAACGGCCGAGGAGACCCAGGCCACTGGAGAGAGGCCCGACTAGAAAAGTCGTGGCTACTCCCAACGGTCAGCGCGCTTGTTCATTCAATCAACAATTATCTGTCGCGTGCCTGTGGTGGGACAACGACCACACTGGGCTCTGGGGATAGGAAGATGAGCAAGAAATACATTTGTCCTTACAAAAAAAGAGAGAGAGAGAGAGAGAGAAAGAGCGAGAGACACACCTCTGGGTGGCTCAGTCGGTGAAATGTCTGTCTGCCTTGGGCTCAGGTCATGATCCCAGGGTCCTGGGATCGAGTTGGTCTCCCTGCTCAGTGCAGAGCCTGCTTCTCCCTCTCCCCTCTGCTCACGCTCACCCATTCTTTCTCACAAATAAATAAATAAATAAAATCTTCCAAAAAAATTAAAAATAAAAAAAACAACAGACCAGCAACCATCCCACGTGACCAATTATGCAATCTAAGTGTTCACCAAGAGGTACAGAAACACGACTGAGATCAATAATGTTTTCTAGAGAAGATACCACCCCTGACAGAGACAGAATCTTCCAGATGGGAGGAAAGGGCAGAGGGCATGAAGAACACACACTCCAGGTGGGGCCTGGTGCTGTCGGGGCGGGTGGGGGGCTGTGGCGATGGGACGGCCTCCCAAACTGTGTTAGGATATTCGGCAACCCTGGAGACAGAAAGGGAGCTTCTGGTCCCTGAAGACAACTGTGGGAGGGGGACAGGCTCTGCCTCGGGGGCAACAGGCTGGACGCCAGTGAGGGAGGCTTTGGGAGGACACCCATCCACTCTGGATGTGGGGGTGAAACGGGTCAGAATCCAGGACGACAGCCAGGCACAAAGCCGTGGGCAGGGGACAAGCATCTCAGGGGAAAGACAGAGTCTGCTCCAAGAACCTGCTGAGTGAGAAGGGGTGAGATGGGTTAAAAAGGGTCAAGGAGTCTGGGGTGCAGGGGAGCAGCGAGACCAGGAGAGGTGGGGTCTGTGTGTGTCTGGTAGGAAAGGACAGCGGCGGGACCCACCAGGAAGGCCAGCCTGGAGTGTCTGAACCGCAGGGAGGCTCGCCCCCAGCCCCACTGCGCTGGCCCAAGCGCAGTGTCCTTCCAGCAGCAGCTCAAGGAAGCTAGGGCAGCAGAAGGGCCTGGGAGAGCTTCTGACAATGCCTGGCCGACCTCGCTGTCCCTGCCAGCTTCCCGGGCAGGCCTACTCTCCCCCCAACGCCTCCCAGAGGCCCTTGGGGCTGAGCTACAGGGCACCGGGGAGAGAGGACCAGGCCTGGCCTCTGCTGAACGCCTGCTCCCACGTCAGCTCCCCGCCGGAGCGCGTGACTTCCAAGGGAAGCAGGCAGGTTCCTTCTCTCGCCAGCCAGCTCTGCTCACCCTGACAGGGCCTGCAGCCCAGGCTGTGGCCAGGGTTACTCCTGAGTGGACCTCCCTCACCTCCACTCCCCCAGCCACAGGCCAAAGGCAGAGCCTGCATCTGCTTACCTCACGGATTAGGGCCTTTGACAAAAGGCTCCCGGTCAGTCTCACAGGGGCCTCAAAATGAAGCAGCTCCAGGGCACCCGGGGGGGCTCAAGTCAGTTAAGCCTCTGCCTTTGGCTTGGGTCATGATCCCGGGGTCCTGGGATCGAGCCCCACATCAGGCTCCTTGCTTGGCACAGAGTGTGCTGCTCCGTCTCCTTCTGTCCTTCCCCCCACTCATGTTTCCTCTCTCCTTCTCTCTCAAATAAATAAACAATATCTTAAAAAAAAAAAAAAAATGAACCAGCTCCCCTGATGCAGGGCAGACAGAGCAGAGCAGGAGTCGAAAGAGAAATACCAGATGACGTCACTCACAGGCAGAATTCAAGAAACAAAACCACGCAGCACACAAAGAAACAGGTCCCTAAACAGAGACCCACAGGGTGGTTTCCGGAGCAGGGAGAGGGGCCCACAGGTGGAGGGGAAGAAGAGACGCTTCTTGCGATGCATGCTGGGAAACCTGCACACCAGAGACTAATACCGTAGAGCCCGTTAATTACACTCTAGTAATAAAACAGAAAGACAAGAGCAGGAGGACCAGCAGAGGAAGACGGAAGACAAGTGCCAGAACAGGGACCAGGCCCGACCTCCTGCAGTTAAAGTCAAGAGGAGGAGGAGTCCGCCAGCTCTTGGGTCCGGTTGTTGGGGGGGTCCCAGGTCTCAAGGATTCGGAAGGATGAAGGCCAGGAACAGTTTCCCGGGTGGAGACCGGGGGAGGCAGGGCATCCTGGCAGAAAGATGTGTGGGATGGGGGACCTCCCAGACCTGCAGCTGGAGTGTGGGGACCTAGCAGGTAGCAGGAAGTCTGGAGGCCCCAGAAGGCCGGAACCACCCTCCACCCCAAGGGAGGAGCAAGGGCTGAGTCCCGCAGGGAGGGGCCCGCCAAGGCTTCCGGACAGAAGAGGGGTGTGAACAGAACGAGGGGAGGGGGCTCCTCCCTCTTTGCTGCAAGCCCCCCCGGCATCAGCCTCAGCTCAATGCCACAGGAGGGCAGCCAGACCCGGGACCCAGCACAATGAACCTGAGGGAGCCCAGTCTGAGGGGACCTGAAACTATGGGGGGGCTCTCTCAATACCTTGTTTTCTAGCACGCCACTTCTGCTGGGGGTAGGAATTAATAGTGTAGTTAGGACCCCTCTCCTCTCCCTCTCAGGCCCCTGGGGGGCCTGCAGGTGATCTCCACAGTGACTGGAGGAACAGATCCAGGTCCCAGGATGGAAAGCCTCACGGCTGCAGCCCCCTCCCCTTCCCCGCCAGGCTCCCAATGACAAGCAAGAGGGGAATGGACAAACAGGGAGCGCAGAGGCTTCTTGAAAGAAGGGAA